TCCTCTCACTTTGGTGGGAAAACACTTCCGCCGCGAGAAGGCAGTGAGTAAGGCTTCCTCAGCAGAGGCTAAATGAGACGCTTGGTCGTATGCGGTGCATTTTGCGAGGCGCAAGGGAGGGGTGACTAGCCTCAACCCTAGACATCCACCCTCGACCATACTGAGGCTTGCGAAAGCGTCAATTTAAACAATCACTAACCCTTCCCTTTGGGATGGGGGTGGAAGCGGTCTGCTTTTGGTCACCATTTGGATAAACGTGTATGGGGGAGATTGGAATGCACGTCGTCAAACAAAACGTCTTTTCTCCAATAAATCCCCCAACTTGAAATTGCGAACCAACTCGTTTCTTTCGTGCTATCTCCGTGTTATTCGCTCTCGGTTAATACTGCCTGGCATTTTGTTGATCCACTCGGTTGACCTAATGGATTCATCTTCGGTTTCGGTCTTTTAAAACCATGCATTTTCGTAGGCCGGTTTGTTTACTGTCTTTCGGTTATCCATTTGCATGCACCAGTAAAGGAAAGATGAAAATTTTTGAATCGGTGTCAAAGTGAAAATTGAGACTTTATGAAGATGAAGGTTACAAAAAGATTGAAAAGATGCACGATCGCCGCTGTTTGCGCCACTCAGTGAGATCACTCTGTATCTCTAACCACCGATTACGCTGAGCCTGAGATCCTTTTCCAAGATGCCTAACACGATCTATGTGAGCAAGTCGCCCAATCCAGGTTTGAAAACTCCCATTACTAGGTCTGAGTTTAACGATCCTTTACTTTGTTCACACACTACGTGCTTCAGCAAACAGCGCGCGCCGTGGTCATCTATTCGGCGACGTGTGCTTTAGATGTCCTATGTCCATACAGGTGGATCACTTGTCGCTGTGGGCAACCACAGTTACCTCAAACTCTGCACCTAATCTCAGCATTGCTTGTTCAGTTCCCCCACCGGACTCGCGTATTGTGGCGTAGATAACGGTGTTTGAACATCGACAGTCTATTCTTATGTTGTTCCCCTACTGGAAAAGGTTAGTTAGAATTGCCAGTCGTAAACTGCAGCAGTTGATATTATTCACTCACGGAGTTCCGCACGGTAAAGCTCTTTCTAACCAATTTCCTGATTTATCTATGTGAATGCCCTTCAGGACAACAAATAGGTTTTAAGTACTTGTCTTAGTAAAACTTTAGCAAAAGCAGGTTTATATATATATATATATATATATATTCACACATGTCTGAATCCAAACTGTGTGGCAAACAAATCATCGTACAATATAATCTTTATGAAAAAGAAAAACGTCCCATGATATGCATGTGGGCGGAATACTGCCAGGTTGCCCAGGATAAGGCCGTCGATTGTTTGCGGACTGGTACCAAACAAAAACACGAAGATCAGTTCACATGGTATAAGATAGCAGCGTTATGTATGTAAGTGGAATACATGAATAAATGAAAGACATCAAAGGGCAATGCGTGACGCGCCCTCTGTAGAATCCGCATGCCATGATGAATTTCGCAGTACGCACAGCGTGGAGAACATTCAATGAAAGCACTGTAGACCTCTTCCAATCTCGTTCGATTTCATCAACAGTGCGTGAATCCATCAACCCAACTGCGATCAAACACCGGACTTCGGAGGTATAAACGGGCAGCAGTAGGACTGTTTCTCTTTCTCTTTACATGATATAGCACAGCTTATCTTTACTTGCTTGCTTCGAGTATCCTGCCCCATCTTAGAATCAATGGAGTGTACTGTTTTGGCATGGTTGATGGTAAATTAGCTCATATATTTCTATTTTGGTCTGTTTCGAAGTACATAGTCACTGACAAGTTTACATCGATCCGAACTGGTGTATTGCGGTTTCCCTGGTTGGAAACCAGTTTTGGTAACTGCCATTTGCGTTTAGTCCATTCCCTAAATGGTACATTCTTTTTCTGGCTGTCATCATATACCGAACATCATGCAATCAAATATTGTATGTGGGCGGGTGTGCAGATTATTTGATCCACCCACATTGTGCAGTGTGCAGATGAACCATAGTGCGTGGAAACAACGAAAAATTAATTTCACTCATAAAAGATCCCAGACTAATTCAATACACACACGCACACGCAATGAAGATACTATTCTGTGATGCAAAACATTCTCCATTCAACTATACCCTGTGAGATTTACAGAAAACCGATGAAAGTAGACTGCTTTGGCTAAATGGTCCAGATAACAGTGCAACACTGCACGGTAATTTTCATTCCACTGGATTGAATAGCTGATTTTTATATCCGAATTGGACGAATGATCGCAAATGGGGGGAAATCCATGCGTCGGATTTCACCAGGGTTAGCATTCGCCAAGACGGATTTTGCTTAAAAACCGATGCATTACATGTGTCATTTGATGACTGAAAAGTTATTCATACTTTGTATCAATCGATTATCTATGCGCTCAAAACACCTGGAAGCAGTTCACACCTCGACTTCCTTTGAGTCGTTGCGGGGAGTTATTCGGCGTAACTTATAGTCAGGAAGTGTGACTCCAGCACAGCATGTACCAGACACACGGTATCCAAAGATTCCCAATCTGATTTATCGTGCTGAAACCCGATCATAAAATTAGATGTGGTTTATACGATTTCAGAGCTCTCAAAACACCGTGACTAGTTTTCCACTTATGCCATCTTCGAAATATTGCTTACTCATCATCCTAATCCACATGAGTCGGGTATGCATTTCTACCTGGTCGGCATCATGATTCCCTATGTCAAAACGTCATTGTGGAGTTAGAGGTTTTCTCTCTTCAGGTGTCTCACAATCCGGAAATTCATAAATCTCATCCTTAGTTTTTCGTTATTACGTTAGCAGCCGTTAGTTCTAGCGTTAAATTGTTTCCATACTATTTGTTAATAATTCAAACTTGCTTAGGGTGATACGTCGCTTTTCTTCCTTTCTCTACTACACCTTGAACAACAACAGGTGATTCTCTCCATAATAACCGTTCCTTCAGTCACTGAACGTTTTCCGGGCTTTCGCCTCATGATCCCTGTGTTAACGTTAGTACTTCGGCTTCTGTTATTTCTAAGTTGCTTCATCTGTAGAATCAAATTCCAACTGGGGTTTAGTTACTGCTACCAAAGACAATATTAAACTGAAGGTATCGTTTGAATAGGGAACCTATGCGATTGTCAATTTCATAAATCCTTCCACCGCGCTCTAACTCCCTCCCGCTTTCTCTTTGACGAATCCTTGACTACGGTTACCGAATTCAAACGTGATTCTTGTTTTACAATATTTTTCTTTAACTACTCGTTAGCGGTGTTCCCCTTACCCCACTTCTCCCATTCATGCCTCTTTACACCTTTCAGCATTGGTCTACAGAAAATATATCCCAACAACAAATCGGTCGTCTTTTGCTGCGACGCCGTTTGGCCGAACGTCACGAGCATCTGTCTGCCCAGTTGACCCGTGAAGAGGCCGCAAGACAAGTAGCCCGTTTAAACAATCCACATTTGACAGCCACCTTAACAGCTCGAATGGAACAGTTTCGTTCCGACCATCAGGAAGGCGATCCCGGTCAGGAGTTGTGTACTACCGCGTTACGGATTCAGTCTCAAAGTACCGGGCATTTGATTCTAATAAAAAAGTCCCCATTGAAACCGGGGTTAGGCCAAGCGGGTCCGACTCGCACAAACTTAACTCTGGAAAGGTAGGACGATGTTCTATATGATGAATTTAGGATTGATTCCTTTTTATGAATAAACTGTTTTCATTAACCTAAACATCTTCATTTCATTGTTATTGTAGCATTTGGTTAAGTGTTGTGTTACATTGCATGTTATAACTTATGCATTGTAGTGTATGGGTGAAGCTCACGATCACAATCAATGTTCCCATGTTTCTTCGAGTTATGTGGATGTCATTTGTTTGCTCTGATAATTAAATTATTCCATCCGAGATTCTACGCCGGACGCCTCGATAATTTGTAACTTTACAACCTCCGTTGAATGAGTTGCACATACCGCTTTGTCCCATCCAAATGTCGGAGTGTTTCCTCTACCGTCCGATGGCGGAAAGCCGATTCGAGAGGATTTAATTGGGTCGATGAGCTGCAAACACCCATGTCATGTAGTGTTGTTTGCACGGATTGATTCTGAACCGCTCAATACGTCGGTAACCATAACGTTTGTTATAGTTATCGGCTTCTCTGTGCGATATATTGGCCCGCTGTTTCTCACTGTAGAGTCACCTTCCGCAGTTTGTATGGTCTGGGCCACTTGCCACCTGTGCCCAATGAATCCTCGTTTCCATGCACCGCCCTGTCTGGCGTTTCCGGTTTCACGAAAGCAAAGGCCCGTAACACAACCTCTTACTTCAGCCTTATACTCAATTAAAAAGGAAGAAAATATACCCTCCCAACGAGGAATTCATGGCGTTGCTCAAAACGCTGACACTACCACCATAGCGATTTGTTTATTACGGGTTGAGTTCAAGTTAGTGTGCGTAATTTGTCTAC